AAAATCTTGAATGGATGCAAAGCAGTATGCTCTAAATGTATTTTACTTAAAAAAAGTAAAAGTAACGAGTTATGCGGTAAAAAAGTTACATGTGCCACAAAATCTCGCATTAGCAACCTTATACTACACACATGGGGAGCTCCTCATTACATTAGAAAAAGAAAAATTAAAAGAAAAAATAGAAGAAAACAATAAGAAGCAAAAATATACAACCATCAAAGGCAGCACTTCACAGCAATCCATATTAAAGTGTTTTGTACCACAGCAATTTAAATTGCATATTGCAAAAGATGAGTTTTTAGAAGCCTTAAACCAGCTGGATTTGGTTGAAGGTCTTTCATTCCAAGTTCAATTTATTTTTTCATTAGTAATTATTTTTTAATTAAAAAAAAATCTAAACAATCATATGTTTTTTCGGCATTTTTAAATAAACATTTGTCATTCTAAAAACAATATCTATGGGCGTTTGATCAGGAACCTATTCAAAAGCTTTGCAGAAAAGTTTCATCTCATTTTGGATTTAAAATGAATAGAGATAATATGAGAATTCAAATTATCAATCTTGCCAAAAAGAATAGCGAACAAATCAAAAACAAATTATTGAAAGTGCTAGTTTATTTGAAAGTCGATTCTACATCAAGGCATATGCACCACTACCTCGGTATAAATGCTCAATACTCAAACAATGATGAAATTGCTGTGATCAATTTTGACACCATTGATGCAAAGAGAAAACAAACAGCAGAATACACAAAAAAAAATTATTGAGAAATGTTTAGATAAGTTTGAAATCAATAAAACTAATATTTAGCAGTGAGTAACATATTTTGAAATTCACTATATTTTTTGTTAATGAAAAAAATTTAAAATTATGTGATTAAAGTTATTATTTTCTATAAAATCATTTAAAGATTAAACCGTTTTGATAAAATCTTTTATATACTGTAAGGTATATTCACTAAACTTTAAATTAATTATTGAAATCATATTTAATATCTTTAGGTGAATATAAAGTTTGTGCGCGACTTTGGCATCAGCGCCGTTGAGGAAATCGTAGATTTTTCAGTAGTAACTGATGCAATTGACGAACATGGTTATTATAAAGCAGACAATGTGGCAGCAGTTTTGGCAAGTGGAGTTGCCAGTAGCATGAGTGTTATACATCTTCAAAGATGTGCTTTCCACACTTTACAGCTAGCCATAAATGATGCATTGAAAAGGCCTACAATAAAAAATCTAATTAACCATGCCAGAGATGTTGTCAAAACTGCAAGAAATTCGAAGTGGATTGACTTCTTCAGGGACCAGACTCCACATCTCATTCCAATTTTAAATCGTGATACCTGTTGGTCTAGCCAGTTCAATATGATTGAGAGGCTAATTAAGGTAAGTTATAACTTATAACTCATAAGTTTTAACTAAAGTGCATAAACCAGTTTTCTAACCGGTATGATATAAATCTAATTATTTCAATGGTAATGATATTTATACTACTTAATAGTTTTTAAATGTTAGTTCATGTAAATATTTCTTTAATAACCCTCTTTATTTAAGTAGTTAATAATTTTGTACATATATTTAATGAATTCTTCTGTTCTTCTAGATTCGATCAGTAATTCAAAATTTAAATATGCAAAAAGAAGTTCCTAAAGAATTTAATGTGCAACCATGTTTTTGGGGTACGTGGGAAGAATCGAGAGATGTACTGTATATGGCACGCGGTTTTACTATTCGTCTTCGTGAAAATATCACCGCAGGCCAAACCCTTTTTGATTGGAATTCAATAAAGTGTGAACTTGACTTAGCCAATAATTTCCAAAAATGAATGGATAATAGAGAAAGCACACTATGCAAAAATTCATCGTTTCTTGCAGCAGTATACGTTGATATTAGGCATGGCTGTATGCTAACAGCAACGGAAGACAAGGTGTTTTTTTTAATAAAATTTTATTTATTTATATTAATTTATTTAACTTTAAAAAATACATATTCCAAAAAGTAAAATATTTCGATAGATAACTGCTGCTGATGGACTTTGGAAAATACATTACAAACTGATTCAACTCGCTAATGAAAATAAAAATAATGAACTCAATAAAACCAAAAAAACAGTAGAGCGCAGCTCTTTTGCAGTTTATGTATCAGACTCTAGTTCAGAAAATGAGGAAAATGCTTCACCAGTTGCAAAGCGTCAATCAATTTTATTTAAGATGTGTGAACAGGAGGTTCAAGACAATTTTTTAGAAGATCAAATGCAGGTTTAACTAGATGTAATTGAAAAGGAGTTTTGACTAGCTCTAAAAACAATTCCGGAAATCTGTTTAATGTTTAAAGACAAATCAACCAACTTAGATGAGTTTTCAAAACTTAACCCATTAAAATCAATCGAGCAGTTCCCTGAAGTTGTACGGGATGCCTGCCGTGTTGCTTTGTCGCTACCTATATCCCAAATCAGTGTTGAGCATCTGTTTTCAGTCTTAAAGCACATGACACCAGACCATCGTAGTCGATTTACATCTGAGTTAATTGATGATATGCTTTTTTAAAAACAAACAAGTTTTTTATTTGAACATTTGATGATGTAGATATTTTAATATTTTGTCCTTGTAACTTTATAATTTATCATGCAATTAATGTAAATATGCATTTAAATCTTTTTATAATTTTATGATCATGTGGTTTCAAATTATCTGAGAAATTGAATGCGACAATACAAATCAAATAAAAATCTTTGGAGTTATTGTATTGGAGTATTGTTCTTATAAATTCTTATGATCCAGCAAAAGCGAGACAAATTAACTTTTGGGTTTAAGCAGTTGTGGCGCAGTGGTAGCGCACTTTCTTAAAAAAATAAGGGATCAAACCAACCTTTGGTTTTGCAACATCGGTTAGGAAGTAGGAGTGAATTTCCTGTAAATTGCTTTTCCAAGGTGTTCTGTTATAAAACCGTAAGGACTTCTTAGGGTACATAAAATAAACATATATATAATTCATAAGAGAAAATATTATTGGTACCCACTCATTTTTCCGGAATTTTTGTGTAAAAGTTCCAGATAATAAAAACCCCATATTTAAATTAAAAAAAAATTATTCCGGAGTCTGCAGTCCATAATTTTTGAGCTCAGAGTCTGGAGTCCCAAAAAATCGATGGAACTTAGCGTTATATATATATATATATATATATATATATATATATATATATATATATATATATATATATATATATATATATATATATATATATATATATATATATATATATTATATATATATATTATATATATATATAAATATTTATATATATATAAATATATATATATATATATATATATATCAGCGCTCGAAATAGTTTTTTAAAGCTTGTCAATCAAATATAATTTATTAACAAAAACAGATTACTTTCTCTTGAAGTTTTCGAAATTTCCCTAAAAATAGCCGATCATTAATCATTGATTGGCTGTTCTTTCGAGCACTGATATATATATATATATATATATATATATATATATATATATATATATATATATATGTATATATATATATATATATATATATATATATATATATATATATATATATATATATATAAATATATATATATATATATATATATATATATATATATATATATATATATATATAGTCTTGCATGGTAGTCAGAAAATTTTTCCCATAAACTGTTGTTTTAAAGAGCACGTTAATAAGCCTGACCAGAAAATGTTAAAAAAATAATTTTTTTTTTTTTTTTTTAAATGATAGACTGCCTGCCCAAACCAAACCCTCAGTTGATGTAGCAGCACTCCCTTACGAGTCAGGCTATTTGTCAGTCAATGTAGCAGCACTCCCTTGCGAGTCAGGCTATTTGTCAGTCGATGTAGCAGCACTTTCTTGCGAGTCAGGCTATTTGTCAGTCGATGTAGCAGCACTCCGTTGCAAGTCAGGCTATAAGATAGTCGATGTAGCAACACTCCCTTGTAGCAGCAGGCTATAAGATAGTCGATGTAGCAACACTTACGCATGTTTTAAAAATGTTTTTTAATAAAACAAAAACACGACTAATTAAAAAAAAATTTCTAGTCATTATAATTGCGGTTTTTTTAAAAAACAATAAAATTTAATGTACTTCCGCATTAATTTAATTGCTTTGACCTTTCAACAACAATAAAATGCAGCTTAAGAGACAAGGTAAAAAAATTGTAGTCAAAAGAGACTTTTTTTTACCATAAAAGTCTCTTTTGACTACACTATAAAGATATATATATATATATATATATATATATATATATATATATATATATATATATATATATATATATATATATATATATACATATATAGGATATATATATATATATACATGTATATATATATATATATATATATATATATATATATATATATATATATATATATATATATATATATATATATGTATATATATATATATATATATATATATATATATATATATATATATATATATATATATATATATATATATATATATATATATATATATATATATATATATATATATATATATATATGAAAAAGCTAAAGTTAAGGGGTCTAAAATAATTTTATTTTTTTACTTGTTGCTCTCTTATGTGGAGACTTTCTCAAAGTAAATACAAATATAAGGAAAATTTATAAGCTTCAGTACATAGATCGACTATCTTATAGCCTGCTGCTACAAGGGAGTGCTGCTAAATCAACTATTTTATAGCCTGCTGCTACAAGGGAATGTTGCCACATCAACTATCTTATAACCTGCTACTGCAAGGAAGTACTGTTATATTGGCTGAGGATTTGGCATGGGACAGCAATCTTTTTTCTTTTATTATTTTAATTATTATTCCTAATGTTTAAAAAGACTTCACTGTTGAGAGCGCAACAAGCAAAAAAAATAGACTGCTTAACTGTAGCGATATATATCTGTAGCTTTTACAATACATATATAGCGTTTATGTATATATATTAAGATGTAAAACTCTATATACCTTAGCAATTCGAACAATTTCTCCAATATTTAAGTAAGCAGCTACTGGAGGCATTCCTTTTCCAATTAAATAAGCCTCATCAGCTTTTTGTCTATGAACTTGTTTAGAATCTTGCTCTGAATATATTGCAACAGTTCGAATCCCTGCTTCTGTTCCTGCTCTTGCAATGCGAACAGCAATTTCTCCTCGATTAGCAATAAGTAGCTTTTTAATTTTACTTTTTGTGTTTATTTCAGCTGAATTTGATGTAGAAGTCTTCTCTCTCCTTGTTTGCAAAGCAGGTGTAAGTTGTAAAGTAGAACGAAACTTGATAAACGCATCTTTTTTAAGTTTAGACACATGTACACGAAGCATCTCTTTTCACAAAGGTATTTAACAACTCATATGTATTTCTTTATATAATCTCTTTTTTTCTAAAGTCTCTTAAATATATAGTTAAAGTTATTAAACATATTGTGATATTTATAATAAATTTTTTTATAAAATAACAGCTTATAAAGGTTTTAAACTTTTTCTCCATGAACTGTAATGCAAACGTTTTTCAAAACATATTTTAATAGGTTTACAAAACTAATTAGCAAATTTATCTATATTATTTTAGTTTTATTTTTTGAATTTGAAAAACTTACAAAAAGTTAAATATACCACACTAGTAGCTTACAATAATTGAAATTAAATTGTCTTTTTTTCACACAGATTATTTTTTTCACACCTAGTTTGAAAATAATAATATTAATTTCACTTGTCCATAATATTTAAAAATATTTGAAAAAAGATTAGGATTATAAATTTTATAATTAAAATTAAAACTGTTGAAGTGAAGCGAACCTTTATTATAAATATTTGCTTAAATCAATAGTTTCGTTTTTAAACAGAAATTATTAGTATCAATTATTATCAATTTTATAATAACTAGCTAAACTTAAAAAAAAATTCTTACATTTTTAAAAATTATTTTATGAGCGTCTATCAAGTTTTTATATTTTAATATAAAATTAGAACTTATTTTTCTTATAATAATTAGAATAATATAAAATATTAAGCAATTAATAGAGAAAGTTTGAAAAAGGTTCTGTTCCCGCTATAAACAACTCTTAAATATCAACAAAATAGATCAGCGGTTAATCTTCATCATTTTAATCAGACGTCGAATTACTTCAACCGGACCTGACAGAAGCACGCTTATTGGTTCTTTTACCATAAACTTCGAAGTAACGATTTCGGGCAGGTGACTATATTATTCCTAAAACTTCAAAAAATAATTCCTAATAAAAAAGATTAGTTATTAAGTATTTATGCACTATTGCATCTATATAAATTTTGCTTAAAAATTTCCGAGAATATAAACTAATTGTTGTAAATCTGAAAGAATCCGATTATCTCCAGCAACACCAATACAAAATCTTTGACACTAAATGTAAACTCACATACAATTAGGGGACATTTAGTTAAAGAAAATTTAACTTTGAGATCACCCAGAACTGCGTCTTTAAAAATTATTTAAAGCCAAATTAGAGTCTTTTCAGAACAGAAAAGAAAAGATAAATCTAAAGTTAAAGTTTTAGTATCAGATGGTAAGCAGGTTTTCTTCAGGCTACCACATACACAATTTAATCACATTAATTTAAAAAAAGTGTAAAGTTTGGTGGTGGAAGCGTCAGGGTGTACGTGGTGAGGTGGAAATGTCAGAGTGTAGGGATATTTCTTGTCTATGTTATTGGTCTTATTTACCTAATATCAGACCAATAACAGACTAAGACAGCAGATATTTATGTTAACATACTTAAAGAAATACTGCTTTCGTAAGCTAAGGATTAAATGTCATTGCTTTGTATATTTAAGCAGGATAACGATCCAAAACTTCTATCGCAAAGAGATGGTTACACACGGCTGTTTCACTCAATATAAAAGCGAGCCTGACGTCACGAGTTTATCAAAAAAAAAAGTATTTCCGCATAAAAAGTATAAAAATTCATTAACTTTAAAATAATAGTATTTTTTTTCTATAAATGCTTTCATCTTCAATTTAAAAAAATATAAAAGATCTATCTTTCCTTGTTAAATAAACATTTACATTAAACGGAATAAAAATGAAAGCTGTAAAAATATTGTTAATAATTTGGCATCACTTTTCTGATTTTTGCGATTTTTACGCAAAACCTGTCTTAGGCCAACTAAGATTTGATAACATAGCTACATGGTCGATGGTTGAAATTTAGAACAGTTATTAATGAATGTCTGTTCGATCTGGATTTTCACAGACTTTGCAAGTTTTTATATATAAAGTTAGTTTTTAATGCATTTATATTTTTGTTTTTATTCGTTTTGAATAAAAAACATAACATTTTTGAAAAGTCTGTGGATTTAGTAATACTTCAACCTTATATGAATAAGAAAATCAAAAAATTATTTTCTGTACCTCTAGCTATGTTATCAAATATGTTTTCAAACTTGGCATGTTTAGCGACATTTTTTTTAGTTTTTTTTGCATAAATTCTTGTTTACATTTTAAAGCGGTGACGCAAACTCTGATCGTTACGTCCCCAACGATTATCGGATGCATTTTAAGAAAACAAACAAAACAAACGAGACACATTTTATAGAATAAATAACAAAGTTTCGCGGATTAATTTCTCTTGGATATTTGACTAATTTCAGATAAGTTGATTAATCCGATTTTATCTAGTGCAGTGGTTCCCAACCGGTGGTCCATGGACCCCTGGGGGTCCATAAGAACTTTTTAAGCGGACCACAAGATAAACGTAAATTCTAAATATTTTTTGGTAGTGAAACTTAATTTTGATAATTTTTTTCTGTTGAAAGAAACAAATTAAATTTTAAATTAAAAATGTAATTTATGCGAGAAAGCTGTTACACAAAATTTGCGTTTACTAATTCGACGAGGACTTGCGGACCTCTACGAAGTAATAAATGCTATATAATATCATTTTTTATCCGTAAATTTAAAATGTTAAAATCTTATCTCATGGTAAAGATAACCTTACTGATTTGTTTGAAAGAACGTAATTTGTGTTATTTTCTATAAAAATTCGATACTATACTACTCTTATCTATAGATGCTTTTTATATTATTTTTTAAATACTTTAGATGTCTAATAGTAAAAAAAGGTCATACTTAGATGAATACATGAGATATGGATTTACCTACATGCTTAAAGAAACCATTAGCTACCCACAGTGTGTTATTTGTTATAAAGTACTAGGAAATGACTCTATGAAACCTTCAAAGCTTGCTATTCACTTGAATAAGTGCCATCTTGATCTCCAAACAAAAGATACTGATTTTTTCAAAAGAAAATTTGAATCACTGAAGAGATGCAAATTGGATAAAACTGGGATTATTTACCAAACTCAACAGAATATAGTAGAAGCATCCTATAAGGTTTCATATATAATAGCACAGAACAAAAAAGCTCACACATTGGCTGAAGAAGTTATACTTCCATGTACAAAAGAAATCGTTAGATTATTATTTGGAGAAGAAGCTGCAAAGAAGGTAGATAATATATCTTTATCAAATACTACAGTCAAACGAAGGCTAACGGATATTTCATCAAACATTAAAGAAAATGTTATTAATGAAATTAAAGAATCCCCATATTTTTCTATTCAGTTGGATGAGTCCACAGATGTAAGTTCAATGGCACAACTAATTGTATATTGTAGGTATATTCACAATAACAAATTTAAAGAAGAATTTTTGTTTTCTTCTTGCCTTGAAACAACAACAAAAGCAGCTAATAATATGGAAATTTTAAAACAGTTTTTCAATGACAATCAATTACAATGGAAATATTTGTTTGGAATTACTACTGATGGAACTCCTGCCATGATGGGTTGTAAGTCTGGATTACAGACTAGGGTGAAAGAGATTGCTCCAAATGTAGTTGGTGTACACTGTTTTATTCATAGACAGGCTTTGGCAGCCAAAACTTTACCAGGTAGTTTGAAAACTGTATTTAATCAATTAGTCAAGTTGGTCAATTATATAAAATCTTCTGCTCTTAACACTCGCCTTTTTACAAAATTTTGCTCTGACCTAAATGCTGAACACAATAAGTTATTGTTTTATACTTCTGTGCGATGGCTATCTGCTGGAAATTTTTTGGAAAGATTTTTCATGCTTAGAAATGAAGTGAAAGAATTTTTATGTCAAATGAAAAGTGGACTGGTAGAATATTTTGAATTTGATAATTTTGAAATAACAACTGCTTATCTTGTGGACATCGTAGGTCATTTTAACAAGTTAAATTTGCAACTTCAAGGCAAAAATGCTAATGTTATTACACATTCAGATAAACTGAAGGCATTTATTGAAAAGCTCAAACTGTACAAGACTAGAATTAATAATGGAAACTTGATCATGTTTCAAAATTTAAATAACATAATTGGAGTTAACATGCTTCCTGAAGTTATAAAGACAGAAATAGTTTGTCACCTAGATAATTTGATTACTGAATTTGGTAACTATTTTCCAGATATGAATCTTTTGAGCAGTGAAGTTATTATATCACCATTTTCTTGTGATGTGAAAAATGTGAAAGAGGAAGCACAAGAAGAGTTTATAGAGTTAAAGAATGATACCACGGCTAAGGATCACTTCAAAGTAGCACCATTAAATAACTTCTGGTTGAAAATGAGGAATTCATATCCATTGTGTTCATCAATTGCACTTAAAGCCCTTATTCCTTTTTCAACATCATATTTGTGTGAAGCTGGGTTTTCAGCAATGCTATCTCTTGAAACAAAAAAAAGAAATAGACTTGATATTGATGCAGATATTAGATGTGCTCTATCAAAAACTAAACCAAATTTTCAGATATTAATTGCTAGTAAGCAGTGTCAGAATTCACACTGATCTGTTCTTGTATCATACATAAACTATGATAAAAAATTTTTGTGTCATTGATAAATATTGATTTTGTGTCTAGTCTATTCAAAAATACCTTAAATAAAATATTATCCATATGAATAAAAGTTACATTATTAAAATGTTCACCTTGTAATAATTTTTAAAATCAAAGGGGTCCATGAAGATTTTAGGATATTTAATTTGGGGAGTGGGTTAGAAAAGGTTGGGAACCACTGTTGTAGATCAAGTAAAGATAAAAAAACAATAAATAAGCCATTTGCAACAGAAATTGAAAAAAACTAATTACATAACTGTTATTAATTACATTGTTATTTATTTTGGCTATTTTTTATATAAACAATGATTTTTTTAATATTAGAATAAATTAACTACTTCTGCATTTATTATTTTTTCCAGTAATCTCTCGTTATTTCAACCTAATAGTTACACAAAAAAATTTTAAACAAAACTTAATAATTTTTTTGTAGACAAAAGTATGCGCAGTGGCATTCTACTTTTGATTCTTTTGTAGTTTTTATCCACTCGAAATTAAGTGCCAGATACTGATAAAAGTATTCATAAAATCTTGCTTGTTAGTTATAATTTTTTTTTCAATTTCTTGATTTACTAATTCTCGAATGTTTTTTATCGGGTCAAAATCAGTTAAGTTAACTAGTCATGGCGTTAAATCATTTTTTTCCCCTGTTATTAATATAAAATAGCACTTCTAACTGTATAACAAATTACATCATCTTGCATAACTATAGGGTTCTTAACTTTTTTAATCAAACTACTATTTAAGAAAGCAACTAATTCTCCAGTACTTCTTAATACTGATCCTGTCTTATTTTTCCGAACACTTTGTAGAAACGTCCTGCTCCTGGCCCACAAATGTAGGACCAGATTATTAATGAGGGTGGATGTTTGACATTTTTTCAATGTAGTATTGTTAAAACGTTTAGTATGTTTTACAATCGACAAAAGTTATCTTGTTCATCATTACTTAAAAAGTTTGACTGGTCTGAAAAGCAAACCAAAAACTTCACATCCCTCTTTTTTCAGTCTTTTGCGAGTAGTCCGGTTTGCAAGTAGTCCGGTTTGACACAACAATACCAGTTTTGTGGATAAGTTAAATCAATACCTGTGTGGCTTTTTTCGGTTGTTCAGGGGCACGATCTGGGACCAAACTTCTCTCCAGTACTAATTTTATTTTCTCACTTGCATTATGGCTTGGTGAGAAGCTTTTAAAATTAGTGCAGTTTTTCTCTGAGAATATTGTGTATTATGAACAAGGCATTTAATTTCCATATATTTTAAAAAAACAACTAATACCATTACCTGATTATTGTTTAAATTTATGGCTTCCTACCCAGATTTGTCCCAATAACTTTTGGTTGGTGCAAAAAACATAAAAAATCAATCTTTAAAAATAGTTTCTATAAAGGTATTTACTTTCAATGAAACTATGTAGTATTGTTAAAACGTTTAGTATGTTTTACAATCGACAAAAGTTATCTTGTTCATCAATACTTAAAAAGTTTGACTGGTCTGAAAAGCAAACCAAAAACTTCACATCCCTCTTCTTTCAGTCTTTTGCGAGTAGTCCGGTTTGTAAGTAGTCCGATTTGCAAGTAGTCCGGTTTGACACAACAATACCAGTTTTGTGGATAAGTTAAATCAATACCTGTGTGGCTTTTTTCGGTTGTTCAGGGACATGATCTGGGACCAAACCTCTCTCCAGTACTAATTTTATTTTCTCATTTGCATTATGGCTTGGTGAGAAGCTTTTAAAATTAGTGCAGTTTTTCTCTGAGAATATTGTGTATTATGAACAAGGCATTTAATTTCCATAGCTAAAAATTTTTGTTTTTTAACTTCAAAAAATGGATAGACATGATTATTATTACATTAGTATATAAAAAATACAAAATTTTTTTAATTTAATTACTGATTATCATAGAGTTCATAAATAATTTAATTGGTTGAAACATTTAACCTGAGTAGCAAACAATTTTGGCGCAGTATTGTTTACAATATGTAAACTACATAAATAGTATTGTGCCAATATTGCTTGCTACTCGGGAAACGTTGATTTAAACTAAAAACAACTTACAACTTTATTTGACTTAACATGCAGCAGCGTTTAGGTTTGGTTAAACATAAGGTCAGAATGAAATTCAAAAAAACATTTAGAATTAACCTCCACCAAATGTCGAGTTCAACATGTTTAAGGTCTGTAATAGAATTATTAAAATTAGAAAAGGTGTTTAGATTTAGTCATATTAAACGTTAATTAGGTGTTTAAATTTAATCTTATCTTGCGTAAGTAAAGCGTTTAAAGTTTTCAAATTAGTTAGTGCTTAAACTTACTAGGTGTAGTAAGTTTAAGTACCTACTATAATTATAGAGTTTTCAGTGGTTTACAGTTTACTTGCAGAGCAATATCTTTTTACAAACAATGCGTTTTCTACTTATATACAGACAGTTGCCCATACAAATAAAAAATTGTATGCTATAAGAATATAAGTTCTGTACTTTACAAGACTTTTATATCAGATTATACATCTTCATCTGTATCACACTTTTTAAAATCATCTAGACATTTTCTTTAAAAAAAGCTTGACATTTATTACTTAACAAGCATGTAACATAAAAATGTCTGATATCTGCGAAATATTTTTATAAACATTGGTATTTTTTACAAACATTATTGAAAAAACATGCTAAAGCAATAACTGCGTAAAAGCAAACATAAGTGAACATGAAAACACTTAATCGTACTAAAAAAAACTAATAAGGTTCTTAAAAATTGGCAACAAAACTTATAGCGGAAAAAAAATAAAAAATAAAATAACAAGAAAATAAGTTTTGTTCAATAGTATTGCAAGCCAAATGGAGTCAAGAAGTTACTTAAGTGATTTTTAAAGTTTTTTAAAAGGTTTCACAAAACCACTAGTGAACTTGAGAATAGAACACCACTTTTATAAATACCATGTCATTCATGAACGGAAAAAAATGAAGTTACAAATACATTTACGATGAAGTACAAGAACATTTTGAAAACCTGATTGAAATATTTCAAGAATACAAGTTTTTTAAGCTACAGGTATCAAAAAATCTATTAAGTTGCTTTATTAAAAATGGAGCAATGTAAAACATTAAGAAAGGAGTCTTACAATGTTTTCATAGCTCCTGAAGCGAAACCGGCAAATAATCTTTTTATGATTAACCACAAAAAAGTTAAAACCTTAAAAAAATAGTGAAATTTGTTTTTAAAAAAGAAAAAACTTAAAGTGAAGGTGAGGAAAATTGCTGTTTTAATAAATTTGATTTGGCGTTTAATCAACCGTGACAGATTTTAAATAGATTCACAAATTAAACTTTTTAAGCAATGTTGTTAAATAGTTTAATGACGACGTTTAGGAAACACAGGAATGTTTATTAAACGTCTTAACAAAGTTTAGACAAAACGTTTAGTTTTGGTCAATTATCCGTTCAGAATGAAATCCAGAATATTATTTTGAACAAACCTTCTTTAAACGTTTAGGGTACAAACGTATTTTCGAAGTGCATTATAGGATTATTAAACAGAAAAAGTTTAGGTTTAGTCTTTTTAAACGTTTGATATTTTGTCTAATTAAACATATAATGTATTAAACGTTTTGGATATTATTTTATAACTATTGATTTTGTCATAAAAATTAGTTTCTCCATAATGTAATGTTTCATCATAACGTATACATAATGCATTGTATTTTAAATGGTAAAGTGGTTTATCTTCCTTTGGCTAGACCTTATACCAGGATCTACAAATAACAAGTTCAGCTCTATAAAGAGTATTATTCCCCGTCTCCATGGACCAAGAGTAAGTGAGTTTTGAGAAAAACAGAAAGTAAAAGTAAGAAGTAGTAGTGTTAAAATGATGACATAGATAAATGCGGACAAACAGATTGTTTAAGAAATACATCAACTAAGAAAACTCTATCATCAAATTAAAAATTGTAACATCTTTTTTAATTCTTTTTTGACAAAGGTTTTAAAAAACAATTTTGTAAGTGTTGCGAGGCCATCTAGTATCACTAGACGCATAAATTCGTTTTATCTTTCTACTCTTTAGACCCAGTTAATGCAGCTATCAAAAAGTATATTATCCATTTTACAGTAACCGATTCTGTAGTATTATATACATAAAAAACAACTTTAAAGTGTGTACACATTTTAGTTTTACCCAGTTGCACGTAATCTCTTCATGCTTGTAATTACAGCTTTGAAAATTTTTCGTTTTTAAAAAAACAACTAATACCATTACCTGGTTATTGTTTAAATTTATGGCTTCCTACCCAGATTTGTCCCAATAACTTTTGGTTGGTGCAAAAAACATAAAAAATCAATCTTTAAAAATAGTTTCTATAAAGGTATTTATTTTCAATGAAACTACTTGGTATTACTATCGATAAAGGTCTAAAGTTTGTAAAACACATTAAGTATTTATCTAATATAGCTGATGTTAAATGTTACAAAAAATGCAATTTTTTGAATTGTCCTCAAATTTAGATGTTTTATTAAAAAATGTTGACAACCTCATAAATGGAAAAATAATAAAACTCTTCAATAATAAAAAAACTCAATATTCTTTGTATAGCCTAAAATGATTTGATTTTGTTTGGATTTAATTTGAATTCATCCAAACATTTGATTATGTTTGGATTTGATTTGAATTTTTTAAATATTTGATTATGTTTTGATGAATTGTAAAAATTTTATTATAGTCCAAAAATTTGGCGTATGATGGAAATTTTTTTTTGCAGAACCCAGAACTTGAAAAATATGAAAAATTTATTCACTAAAATAAATATTACCTATAAACGTTTTCGTTACAAAAACTTTTACTGCGTATGATTCTTCCTCAAAAAGGTTCCAAATATAAGGGTACATGATGAATTCTACATACAGCTAACTTACAATAGAACACATTTTATGAAAAATGCACTTTGTTACATTAAACATTTTACATTTTTTACATTTTTAAAATTAGGGATGTAACAATACATTCTTGGTATATTCCGATATAAACTACTTTAACTAGAGAACAGTCTTCTTTAGCGAAATCAAAAAATTCGCGAGGAATGTTGCAATTTCTTATTATTATATTAACATTGTGATACTTGTGACTTTGTTCATTATAATTTATTAACATAAAACACAAATATCATTTAGCAACGATGCAACAGTACAAAAACGTCCCATAAATTATATTTTAAAGGCTCATAAAGTAAAAGTGTATCAAAATATTTGGTATGACAAAAGGATTACATTTTTAGTAAAAATCATATGTTTTTATTGAAACACGTTTTATTGCTAGATATTACAGGTCAATAATAATATGACATGTAATACATGTTTTAAATATATATTTACATGACATGTAATACATGTTTCAAATATTTATTTACCTAACTTTACCAAGTTATGTAAATATATATACCTAACTTTACCAACATTGGTAAGTAACTTTAATGACATTTGTAATGTTTTGAGTCGTAAAAAAAAGAAACCGTTTTTTTCAAGTTAAAAACATCAGTTAATTCATCGATGTATGATCCTAATATAATGATGATTTATCAATGTATGATTGTAATCTAATAATTTAGGTCGACATAATTTTATATTTAATGTTAAATCCAAATTATGCTAAACCTGTTTACAGTTTTGTTCCTGCACGTATTATTTTTAAATTATTTAAATTTTTGTGCATTATAAAAATGTACGTAATTATATAAAAATGAAATCTTAAATGAGCCACATCCAAAACACGATTCTTGACAAACAAAATTGTTTGGACGTGGTGAGAATCAAACGTTTGTCGGCCCACCTTAATATACATCATAAACTAAATTAATACAACGCAATAAGCTGCAAACAAATAATTTACGTGAAGGAGAGCAATTAAAAATTACAAGCTTTTAAAAGCTTGAGTTAAAAACTGAATTTCATCCCGTTTTAGATGATTGATCTTTCTAATATAATTTTCTACTTTTTTTGTTTATATTAAACACTAATAATAATCGAAGTTAAGTTATAAAAATAAATATAAAAAGAATTTCTTTAAATTTATTGCTAAAATTGATTTTCTAAGTGAAAAAAAATGTTTTAGATTAAAAATAAAATCATGAAACTGTAAACAGCATCGCAAAATGGTAGTAATATACTGAATTATATAAATACTTTTGTTGTCTCGATATGCCCCATGATCCGATGGCGATCACAAATAATACCGAATATGTATTATAACTTATATTTTTAAGATCTTAACCGTTTTTACATTAACTATATTACTTATATTCTTTATATTTTTGTATCTTCAAAACAACAACAACAAAACTCTATTTATACAAAAATTTCGTTCAATAACAAAAAAATACTATTATTCAAATAGTCGCCACATAATTGTTATTTAGTTCGTTATAGCCATATTGGCGTTATTTACTGGTTATATCGATCGTGATATACCTACAAAGAATCCCATAATTCTACCAAGTGGCCAATGTCCTCTAGATGTATCTGGAGAAATTACTAACACAATGTCATCCGTTTTTATTTCGCGTTTTTTCTGATTCCATTTATATCTTTTAGATAAAGATGGAAGCCATTCTTGCATCCATCGTTTCCAAAAATGATTTAGTAGTTCTTGCACTCGACGCCAGCGCTTTTTAGGATGATAGCCTTTAGATTGAACTGAGTCAAGTGCAAATTGTCCACCAACTTGCCCAATCAAAAAATGATTTAGAGTTAATGGAATATCACCTTTTATATTGGCACTCTGATATGTGCAGCCGTGGCGCAGTGGTAGCGCACTTGCCTCAGAAACGTAAGATCCGTGGTTCAAACCCCACCTCTGAGCAAGTTTTGCGACATCGGTTGGGAAGGAGGCGTGAACTTCCTATTAAATGCTTTTCCGCGGTGCTCTGTGATAAGACCGTAAGGACTTCTTGGGGCACCTAAATCAACTTAAAAAAAAAAAAAAAAAAATATGTTAGTGGGCGAGAATTCAATAAACTCTCAGCACCTGTAAATGCCGTACAGAGTTCTTCATCTGTAATATCGGCTTTTTCGAGTATCCCAGTCATTGCATGTTTGACAGCTTTGACCATTATTTCAAATACACCGCCTAGATGAAGTCCTAAAGGAGCATTAAAGTGCCACTTGTTTCCTTTATCAGCTGTAGAGTTAGTAATTTTATCCTAATCTAAGTCGTTGACAATTTCGTTTAGTTCTCGACATCCTCCAACAAAATTTGTTCCATTGTCCGTTAAAACTTCTAATGGTAATCCTCTTCTATTGACCATTCGATAAAAGGCATTGAGGAATGAATTTGTACCTAGATTATAAGCCATCTCAAGATGTACTGCTCGTGATAGTAAACAGGTAAACAAGCACAAGTATCTCTTTTGTCGTATCTTCCCTCTACCTTGCATAGTAAGAAATGGACCAGCAAAATCGATACCAATTCTAGCAAACGCACGTAGTGGTTCTTTAAAGCGCATTGCTGGTAAAGGGGCCATCAGCTGTTGAGCAGGTTTACATTTTCTTAATTTACATTTGTTGCATTTTGCTTCTGCATCTCGGATTTCTTCTAGTCCTCGTATTACCCAATATCGTTCTGATAGTTTTGTTAATAATTGATTTGTTCCCATCACATGATTGGCTTCGTCATGGTAATGCTTAACAATCAATTTTGTTATTGTATGTCTTCTCGGCAAAATGATTGGATACTTGACATCGTAGGGTAAGTAATGGGCATTTTGCAATCGACTGCAAGATCGCAATAATCCGTCTTCGTCAATTTGCGGATTTAAAGAAATAATTTTGCTTGATATCGATATCGGTTTTCCTTTGTTGCTATATTCTTCTTTAAAGCTTTCTTTTTGAGCTTTAGCTATGATTTCTTTTTCGCTTTCATGATATTCATCAGCTGCTATATCACCCTTTTTACGAAAGTCTGTTTCAAATCGGCAATTTCCGATAAACCGATGTATCCAGCAGTTTATCCTGACAAGTTTTTTTTAACATGAGAACTTGTTTATATCAAGCAATTGCTTTGTTACTTCAGTGGATAATGCAAAATTCATTAATACTAGATTTTTCTTTACTTCAATTGAAGCCTCTTGTGTAACTTCAATGTGATTCTGTGGCCATTTTTCTTCTAAGGAATTAAGGAAACTTGGTCCATGCCACCATACATAATTGCTTTCTAATTCTTTAACTGTTGTTTCTCTTGTTAGTAAATCAGCTACATTAGTTTTTG